TGATCCCAGGGTCCTGGGATCGAGTCCCGCATCGGGCTCCCTGCTCGGCGGGAAGTCTGCTTCTCCCTCTCCCACTCCCCCTGCTGGTGTTCCTGCTGTCGCTGTCTCTCTCTGTCAAATAAAACAAAAGCAAAAACAAAAACAAAACAATGTACTTCAGCCGACCCAGAGATGCATGCGTGAGAACAAATGACAACTGTTCTAAGCCAGTGCCTTTTGTGGTGGTTTGTTAGGCAGCACCACTGTGGCGATAGCTCACTGGTATTCATCGCTCATATAACTGAACACTCCGAAGGTAGCATGGTCTCCAGGTGGCTGGAAAGGAATTCCTCTTCCACTTCTCTGTGATTCTCTTGAGGCTTCAACCAGGATGGTTTCCTTCTTGGTGGAATGATGACCATACCATTTCAGGCTTCACATCAATACCCCAGTACTTTCTAGAAGGCAAGAGGTTTCTCTTTTTCAACCATCATATAAAAGTCCTGGGCTTACTCTGGAAGATAGTATGGAGGTCCCTCAGAAAGTTAAAAATAGAACTACCCTATTATCCAGCAATTGCACTATTAGGTATTTACCCAAAGGATATAAAAATACAGCTTTGAAAGGGGTACCTGCACCCTGATGTTTATAGCAGCATTATCAAAAATAGCCAAACTGGAAAGGGCCCAAATGTCCATTAACTGATGAATGGATAATGAAGAGGTGGTGTATATATATAATGGAATATTATAGTAATATAATGGAATATTACTCAGCCATCAAAAAGAATGAAATCTTGCCATTCACCATGACATGGATGGAGCTAGATTGTATTATTCTAAGTGAAATAAGTCAATCGGAGAAAGAGAGATACCATATGATTTCACCCATATGTGGAATTTAAGAAACAAAACAGATGAACATATAGGAGGGGGGAAAAAGGAAAAAGAGAGAAAGAAACAAACCATAAGAGACTCTTAAAGACAGAGAACAAACTGAGGGGTGATGGTGGGGAGCGGGTGGGGGATGGGCTAGATGGGTGATGGGTATTAAGGAGGACACTTGATATAATGAGCACTGGGTGTTGTATGTAAGTGATGAATCCCTGAATTCTACTCCAGAGACCAACACTGCATGTATGTTAACTAACTAGAATTTAAATAACAATTTGGGGAAAAGGAAGTCCTAGGCTTCACACTGATTAGGCCAACACAGGTCATGTGTCTATCCTGGGCCAATTGTTGAATAAGGAGGGTGGGATTGTGTGACTTGGCTTATGTCAGTCAGCGTCCCCTCTTAAAGATGGAGGCAAGCTCAATCTCTTCCAAAATGCATGGTGTGCCTCATTAAAGGTGGGAACATGCTGAGAGGCATTTTATTCCAGCAGCATTCATTATGGAGAATCTAAAATCTCCAAACATTACATTACATTATTTGGGTCAAGCACCGGAATGTGCTTTACATAGAACTTTACCATTAGCCCGTTGGACTCCCAAACTCCTAGTAACTCAGGATTTTAAGAAAATGCAAGATATACGCTCGGCGTCAGGGAAATCCAAATCAAAACCTCAATGAGATACCACCTCACACCAGTCAGAATGGCTAAAATTAACAAGTCAGGAAACGACAGATGTTGGCGGGGATGCGGAGAAAGGGGAACCCTCCTACACTGTTGGTGGGAATGCAAGCTGGTGCAGCCACTCTGGAAAACTGTATGGAGGTTCCTCAAAAAGTTGAAAATAGAGCTACCATATGATCCAGCAATTGCACTACTGGGTATTTACCCCAAAGATACAAAAGTCGGGATCCGAAGGGGTACGTGCACCCCGATGTTTATAGCAGCAATGTCCACAATAGCCAAACTGTGGAAAGAGCCAAGATGTCCATCGACAGATGAATGGATAAAGAAGAAGTGGTATATATATACAACGGAATATTATGCAGCCATCAAAAGGAATGAGATCTTGCCATTTGCAACGACGTGGATGGAACTGGAGGGTATTATGTTGAGTGAAATAAGTCAAACAGAGAAAGACATGTATCATATGATCTCACTGATATGAGGAATTCTTAATTGCAGGAAACAAACTGAGTGTTGTTGGAGTGGGGGGTGGGGTGGGAGAGATGGGGTGACTGAGTGATAGACACTGGGGAGGGTATGTGCTCTGGTAAGCGCTGTGAATTGTGCAAGACTGTTGAATCTCAGATCTGTACCTCTGAAACAAATGGTGCAATATATGTTAAGAAAAAAAGAAGAAGAAGAAGAAGGTAGCGGGAGGGGAAGAATGAAGCGGGGGAAATCTGAGGTTTAGACGAACCATGAGAGAAGATGGACTCTGAAAAACAAACAGGGTTCTAGAGGGGAGGGGGGTGGGAGGATGGGTTAGCCTGGTGGTGGGTATTGAGGAGGGCACATTCTGCATGGAGCACTGGGTGTTATGCACAAACAATGAATCATGGAACACTTCATCTAGAACTAATGATGTAATGTATGGGGATTAACATAAGAATAAAAAAAAAAAGAAAATGCAAGATATATTTGGTCTATTGGAATTGGAAGATCTCTGAGCTGTAGGATGAATTAATGCTAATGTGATGAGAATTTAACCAAGTTTGGTGCATTGGTATGGATGTCATTCCACTGTGTTCTGGCCTCTGTTGTTTCTGATGAGAAGTCAGCTGCAGTTCTTCCAGACACAGAGTAAGCTTCAAATAAAAATGTGTGTTGAATTAATGAATTAAAAATAGAACCATGGTCTTCTGACACAATCTAACATTCTTTCAAGAATACCCCACCATTGCTTTGTAAAACCTTCCTTTGTACCTTTACTGCTTCTACTGAAGCCTCTGCAGGAAAGTGACTCAAAGAAATCAACTCAGATATGTTTTCCAAACATGGACATTGAAATGATCACCAAGTATTTTTTCTGCTTCTAAGAGTCCTCCCTGACCTCAGATCATCTACAAGATTGAATAACCCTTATCAGCTAACATGTTTTTGTCATTCAACTAAGGTTTGTCATTTTACAAATATTACTGAAACCCTGTGCTCAAGGCACTGTGTTAAGTAGTGTGACGGATGAAGAATGGAAAGAGTTAATACTTGCCTTAAATTACCCAACAATTGTAATCTAATTGTTGTTCAAGTTTTCAAGGTAATCTTGGAGAGAAGGACCTTTCATGAAACTCCAGATTCTCCAGGAGCAACTTGTCTGTCTTCTTGTGGGATTATTTTTACCTTATTGTTTCTAATCATAAAGGGCCTCAGTTCTATAGGAAACATCCATCAGCAATAAGGCAAAAATGATGTAAACCAAGCATCTTGATGTGACCCAGACCAGGTCTTAGGTATATTCCCAAATTCTTACATTAATGTCTTAAAAGTACCTTTCCATAAATGTCACCATGGCTATGCATGGGCACTGTTCAGTCTGATTTGCGGGCAATGTCCTGGTTAAATAACTCTACATAATTGCCAGTCTGGGAGTGCAGACTCGGCTACATTTTCTTCAAGTCTCTCTTTCTCTTTTTATCTTTTATTCCAGTTGAGTTATGCCTTGAACCATACGAACAGAAAACTGACACTGGAACCTAAAATAACTGTGAATGCCAAGATTGTTGTGGTTGGTGCATCCAATGTTGGAATTTCCTTCCTAGAGACATTGGTATTTTGGTGAGTTATTTTACTTTATTTCTTTGTTTTTAAAGGGGCTCTTCTCTTCTACACCTGAGATGGTTTTTTGAAAGAAAAGACCTGAGTTTTTTTGTCACCCCACACACCCTGCCTAGGTGGATTAATGAGTCAATGAAATATTCTACACCAAGGGTTGGCAAACTATAGCCCCTGGGTCAAACGTGGCTTTCTACCTGCATTTGTAAATAAAGCTTTATTGGAACACAGTCACAGTTATTTATATGTTGTCTCTGTTTTCTTGCTACAATGGCAGATTTGAGAGGCTGTAACAGAGGCTGTTTAGCCTGCAGTGCCTAAAATATGTACGCTCTGACCCTTTCCAGAAGTTTGCCAATCCCAATCTATACTAGTGTTTCCCTTATTGGCTGAATCATAAGAATCACCTGGAGCATTTGTTAAAGAGGTAGATTCCCAGCCCCAGCACCAGACATACAGAATCAGAAACTTCCAGGGATGGCTCTGGGACTCTGTATTTTAGTGGGTGCTTCATATAGTCAGGCAGGTTTGGGAACCAGTTTTGACATTGCATATCACAAATAGGCTTTCAGAAATGGCAGATGGGCCAGGACCTTTCTTTCAGCCCCTGCATTTTGAGTACCAGGGAACAGAGGAAAATCCCACAGGGAAGACTGAGGCCTGTGCGTCTCTCCAGTGCTGTTCTGTTACCCTCACAGCACTAAATGGGTTTCCTTTCAGAGCCCATTTTCCTGATAAGGGGATTCCCAAGGGTTCTCAGCTTCCCCTGAGTAGCTCTCCATCTGCTCACTGAATTTCATCCCCTCCCTGACAGGAAGAGCCCTAGGTTATCGTCCCAGAACTTGGGTTCATGGTCTGGCACCACCACCACCTGACATGGAACCCTAGATGTGTTGCTTCACTTCTCTCAGACTTGGTTTCCTCATTTATTTATTTATTTTTTAACGTCTCACGGATGTCTTAAAAGACCCTGGCTTTGGAGAACTACAGACTCCTGAATCAAAAGAGTCCAGTTTTTTTCTAAATCTTTTGCTCAGGATCACATGAGAAATTTTAGTTCCTGTTCAAAACTATAGGTGCTAAGAGATAAGCAGAAGATGGGAAAAAACAGCCTCCTTCCCCTAACTCCTTCAGAAGCCAACAAAGGTACCAGCCCAAGTGTGAGGCATTGTGAGGGGTTAGACAAGGAAAGGGAGGGAGGAAATGACCCCTAACAGGTGTTTGTCCCTGGTGGATAAGGAAACGAGCTAGCCCTGCAGGGTTACTTTGCTCATTTGACATCACATTAACCAGATAAAGATTTTTTTTTTTTTTTCACTTTCCAGCCAGTTTGTTCAATTATCCGGAACATAACCCTAGTTAATCAGAAATAAGTCACATGTCATTATTGAAATCAGCAACAGAGCTCACATGCTTTAAATATTGTAGTCAGTCTATAGCAATCTTTCATTGCAAGAAAGAAAGAATGAGAAGCACCTGGGAATATCCATTTTTGCAGGTACACCACACTACAGTTTGAGGGCTCTCCTCGTTCTGAGGGGTCTCTTCTCTAAGACTCCAAACAGCAAGTCATATGCGACCATTTCTGAATGATGAATTATCGGTGAGGACTTGTGAAATTATAGTAGTCAAGAAGTTAGCAAAAGCAGGTCTGAAATCTTCATTCACCTACATAGTCATTATGCCTTATTTTAAATGATTACATGAAGATATATACATATAATTTTCTTTTTGTGGAATCAACTTAGATTTAATAAAGACAAGTAGAAATTTGGATATAAATACTTGCTTGGTTAAATTCCTCAATCAGACAGACCTTTTTAAAGCATTTTAAAGTACTGGTAGTTCTCTGTCATCATTACGCAGATTACAGACGCTAAAAATAGACTGGTATCAGTTTACGGATCTTGAATCCTTCACAGAGGAAATAGTTTTCTCATTATTTTCCCTAATTATTTTAAATTAGCAATCACCATAGTAACCTACTGCATATTTTACTTTACCAGCTTAACTGCTATTTGAACTAGATGTTATAAATGATTTGACCTGAAATGAAATGGAAATGATCACCAAACATTGACCCCCAGTGAGGATGAAACCCACATTTTGGAGGCAGGATTTAGAAAAATTGCCCTCCTGATGTTTCCACATGGCCATATCAGACTCAGCTGGGGCACTGTGGTTCCCGGAAAGCCCACATGAGGCCCAGTACAGCAACCTCTTTTTCCAGAAAATCTGGTAGTCCTGTCATCTGGTGACAAAACAGACAACTCTTTGTCCTCATATTATGTACATGCCAAAAAAATTACAAAGCATTTGTCCTCTTCAAAGGACACCAAAAGCAGTCCCTGCATAAGATCTCTTCTTCCCTTGTGATACCCTTCTTTCCTCAAGTGCTAAGGTGCTACTGGGGCAGCTGAGAGGATTTGCCCTAAGTCATCAACTAATCCAGTAGGATGCAGCTCCATGGGAGGGGGAATAGTGAGGGTGATGTTTTGATTTATGTATTTATTTTAGTGCAACATTCTATCTGGTCCTTAGCTGTTTGTTACCCATCCAGTTACATCTGCTTAGACACACCCTCTTGTCTTTGGTTGTCAGGCCTGTGAGTCACCCTGCATCTTCTTGTCCTTTCTAGGGCAAGGCCTCCTGCGCCCCTCAGTTCCCAGTGACATGTGTGACAGGTGTTTTCCGAGGGACACATACCAGCATCCCTTGGGGTGCTCCCGCCCTCCCAGTCCTATTCAGTCCTCCAGGGCTGGGCTCAAGAGTGGCAGCCCTGCTCTCAGAGCTTCCTGCAATCTCCATGCACCCTCCTGCGGGGTGCTCTGTCGTCCCAGTCCTATTCAGTCCTCCAGTGCTGGGCTCAAGAGTGGCAGCCCTGCTCTCAGAGCTTCCTGCAATCTCCATGCACCCTCCTGCGGCTCCTGACCGGCTTTTGGAGGTGCACGGTAATTCAGCGTCAGGGTGAGGCTCAGCTAATTTGTCCCTCCACCCCTCTCCTGGGGGTCATGTGCGTTTGTCTTCTGAGAGTGCTGTGTCCAAGAAACTCTGAGAAGAGCCGAGAAGGAAGTGTTTTCGGGCCCCACACCCCACCCTATGGCCAGTGTGGGCTCTGGCCACAGGCGTCTTTTGGCCTTTCCCCATTACCTTCCCTGCCAGGGCATGGGCTCCCATGGTGATTACCAGGAGCTGAGCAGGGGACCAACAATAGGCATGGAGTAAGGGCCAGGGGAGCTTTCTTGGGGTAGGGATGAAGAGGAGGAAACCCCTGCTCATCCTGTGGTGTAGACAGCAGTGAATTGGAGGGGAAAGGCAGCTCTTAAGACATTTTATTGTGAATCATCTAGGTTCTTTAGCATCCCAAGATATTTACATTATGGACCTGAACTATTTTTAAATTACAGTTCTCATGATTGATAGGTTGTGTTCATTTGGCTGTCCCGGCTTTCTGGGACTGAAAGTTCTTGGCTTGAACAGTATAAGTATTTCATATACATTATCCTTCTCGGTACTGTTAGTAATAAGATTTGTCTAAAACTCCAATCATGGGAAAGAGCAGAAGGAACTTGGCGTCAGCCCCCCTCTGCTGCCAACCTGTGCTATGGCCTGTCCTCCTCACTGTGCTGAGAGGGTCACGGCAGGGACCCCCATGGTCCTGCCAGCCTGAAGGTGGTGTCACCCTAGGAACTCCACCAATCACATCTGAGGCCTAAAGGGAACTTCCTCTTCCTGGATCAACAGCCAGGACTGGAGGTGAGCATCTATCATCTGTCAAGGAAACACTGTTTCCCAAAGAAAAGCTTTGCAGTGAAGTCTGAAAGCTCTTTTCAGAAAGCAGGAGGCCCTTTCCCACAAAACTTTAGGAAGTCATATTTTCACCAGTCACTTCCCGGACCAAGTCCAGCTCTGCTGAACTCCCTGAATGTCATGCTTTGACTACTTCAGGCTTTCCACTGAAGTACTACAAAATCATTTTTTAAAGAGAAATATAGAAATGCTATGCCAAAAAAAGGAGCAGATGGGGCACCTGGGTAGCTTCGTTGGGTAAGTGTTCGACTCTTGATTTCAGCTCAGGTTATGGTCTCAGGGTCGTGAGATCGAGCCCTGGGTCGGGCTCTGCACTGGGTGTGGAGTCTGCTTAAGCTTATCTCTCTCCTTCTTTCTCTGCCCCTCCCCTGCTCACATGCGCTCTCTCCCTAAAAAAAAAAAAAAAAAGTCAGGAGCCAGGTCTATGAACTCATCTTCATATTTTGCATCCTTTTTACTCACAGTGTGGCCTGTGGAGCGGCAGCAATATGACAGTCACCTGGGAGCTCGCTAGCAATGCAGAACCACAGGCCCTGCCCCAGAAGTGTTCCAAGTAGAGAGCGGTTCCCTCCCCGACCCCTTCCACCCAACCCCCCCCCCAGCCCCCGCCAAGAATTACACAGAACAGCTCCTTCGCTCTCTCTTGGGCATGAACTCACTGAGCCGAAGCAGTTACGGGTTTATTCTGTTTCAGCTCGTGTGTCTCTATGCTTCTGTGCATTATATTATTTACTCCTAATTATGGAGCAGTTCCTTTTAATCCATTATTTTAAAATCCTTCCTAATTAAATCCTGAGGTAAAGAATCTCTCGAGGAGCCTGCAGTGGCATCCTGGGATGACAGTGACTGAAAGCAGCCCTGGGTGGTGTCCCGACGACCCTTTGTGTGCCTTAGAGAAACACACGCTTGGATTCACAGAGAGCCCTGGTGGCTGCGAAGGGCCCAGGCTCCCCTTCCCTTCCACTTTCACCACGGGGAAGAGTTTTCTCGAAAAACCGACCGAATAATCTCATCCAGTGGGGAAGGAAGTCTCTGATTTTCTACTCAAACCTGAACCCCTCATCTGGTTGGGTGGGTTGCGGTGACTAAGGAGAGCATGGACCAGGGAGGGCACATCTGTGAAGCCGCAGTTGGGACCGGATGACCGAACCTCCTGTCAGCGGGCCGCGCATCCGGCGCAGCTGTGGGCTCTG